GGAAATCTCCCGCTACAACGACAGATCCATGAACTGGGATCTTAGTCAAGAGCCGTAGCACCCAAAGAAGTTCAAGATGAAGTTGAAATATTGACGGTGAGACGTTAACGAAGATTAGAAGACAAAGATGTTGGAGGCTGATAATGATGGATGGTTGACACTATGTGGCTACCCACACCCTAAAAGGTTATTTCTTCTTCAAGTAACCGAAAAAGAAACTAGCTTCGCAATTGTGGTGTATGATTGCATAACCCACAGGAGACCCGCTTCATACCGATTACACGGGGTTTTTTTGAAGTCTGAGGCCTAGTTTTGATTGATTTAAATACAGTTGGAAACCGAAACTAGCGATACTGGAAGACCGCTGGGCAGGTGAGAATGTGCTATTTCCCAAGCCGACTTTTTTCACTTCTTATCCCATAGAGAAGGCAGCATCACCGTGGCACTGTTGGTGGTATGCGGGAAACACCTTGATGGCGTCGCACTATGCTCAAGCCAGTAACATGGCTTCGTCCTGAGGTCCCTATCATATGGTGGCACCTTGCCTTATAACAATAATTGCTTTTTGTCTCATGAATATCCAACAGTCGTCTCATGTTGTCGAAACTCATTATTCTGTTTTTGTGCTTACGGATCCCGATGTGATAATGGATATTCGTGAGACATGAGATCACAAGGCATTTCATGCACACTGTTATAGTCCACAGAAGGACAAGGGCAGACGTATTACACTGACTGCCATACCTAATTATCAGAGATAAAACTTTCCATATGACCAATCCGGGTCAACCAATCAAACATATTTTACGAAGTAGTCATACTTTTAATCCAAGTGACTGACTGAAAGACGAAGTCAACACAGAACCTAGCACACAAGGGCATCGCTTCAAGTTAACACACTTCACAGTAGTACAGAAAGAACAGGTGATGGCTAAAAAAAGAGTGACATCGAAGATAAAGTAGAATAAGAGTATAAACAACTTGAAGATAAAGGTCATGCGAATATTTGATCTTTAGAAGACGTCAGGGAGTGAATACATCTGCGCCACTGTTATCAATTTCCAGCCATGTCACCAAGAGTCCTCAATCACTGATCCCTTTCGTCTCAAGGACCCTAACCAGGTAGTCTACACGTCCACATAAGACTCAGACCAACAGGAAAAGATTCACCGACTGCTGCACGCTTTAATCTGGCCACCCTGAACCCTCTCCCAACCGAATTCAACCTCCCTAACATGGTAAGACGAGGTGGGTAGTGGCTCGGCATGCGTAGTACACATCCAAGCCACCTCAGTCAGTGAATGTTAACACCTCATGAATCAACTTGCCGGTTTTGCCTAGTATCCTTCAACTGACCTCAACATTGCTCACATGGTGGTTCCACCAAAAGCCAGGAATGCAACGACCACATTTGGGACAGAAACCCTGTAATTAATTCCACTGCTTTTAACAGCCATATCTCGCACAACATAACAGAACAGATAGCAGAAAAGTATGGTCGTCCTTTGATACGTAACCAGGTATTTCACCAATCGGCTCCCTAGATGACTGTAGTTGGCAATGTCAAACCGGACTTCTGTATCCAAGATGAGATCTCATCAGCGACCAGCCGGTTCACGCTTCTTACTTAGACGTCCCTTAGCTTCTGTTGTCATAAACCAACACTTCATGGGAAACTAGCCTCCAACAATGTGGCAGTCAGATAAAGACAAGCACCCTCATAACCCTGTTAGCACTCAAGCGATTTCAAATAATTATCGAATTTCCATATCCTTAACATTCAGCGTTCCTTCGCATCTCAACCAACATCCCTACACCGTATATAGTTTATTGCAGTTCTTGATGAGCCTTCGATCTCACGGAACAGCGTCATCCATCTCATAAACCGCACTCAAAATTACACATTGTAGCTTTCAACGTCATCACTCTCCATCTAGTCAGAAACGGACTTCGCTAGCTAAATCTCTGGCATCTCAGTTCAAAGCTGTGTACTGTTTCTGTGAGAGACGCATATGGTACGCATTGTGGTTATTCACTTATTCTCACCCGGCCAAAATGTTGAATCTGGAAGACTCACTCTTTGAGGTTTTGGAAATTCAACGTCTAGTTCTCACAGTCTTACAAGTGTAAGTATATGGCATGTGCTCAGGCAAAAAGTACACTGCTGTAGTGGATATCGATTGACAGTCAGTTATGTGCTGATCGACTTAATCGCAGTCAGGACTGACAAGAATAGGAAAACTTGCCGTTGCCTCTTAGTAACCCTTACCTATGCACACACTTTCTGTGGTTTGGAAGAAGTGAAGGATGAGATGTACTGAAGACTATCTAGCCTGCTACTTCGGTTGTTGTAGCGGGGGATTTCCATGCACAAATTGGTAGACCCAGTGAGGTAGAAAGGCACTTATGTGGCGTTTTCTGAATCTCAGCCGAACGAAGAAATAACAGCGACCGCATGCTAAAACTGTACTGAGACAAGCATCTGTTTCTAGGCAGCATGAACTACCAACGTATACAGAGACATCATCTGATGTGGCTTCCACCGACTGCGATTCAATTGTGCATCCCGCAACTACTTAACGCTATGAAGTGATGGCGAACTATTGGTCAGGTTAACTGTAGTGTTAGCTAGTGTATGGGAACCTGACATGACCCTCCTCTAACCATCCTCAATTGCTGATGGTCCCAGTCTTCAAAAAGATGGGTATGTTGTGCACCTCGAGTCGTGTCCATCACGGATCTCCACTCTCCCCATTCTCATCAAATTTTGTCAGAGACCTTCTTATCGAGGTCTCCCTCTCGTTGTCTCATTTCACAGGGATTGATCTTGTCACAGGAGAATCCTTATTAGATCTAGAGTATGAAGATAACACATCGTACAGTACTATTAGATGAACATGCTGACATGATGCATAGACTTCCGGACACCTTGAGTGACAGTTTGAGAATGTTCAGAATCCATTTCTCACCACTCAAATACAAATGCCTATTCCAGGAGAGGTAGGTAATGTGTTGGTTCTCTGTGATGTTGGACAGTAAGGTGGTTGACGTCAAAGAGTGAATACACGTGCGTCATTTTGGATGATTTTTAGCCATCTCACCGAGCCTCTGCAGCCAATTATTTCTATCATCTTCAGGGTTCCTACCAGGCAGCCTGCATCTGCAGATGGCTAAGACGGAATATCAGAGATTTCTTGGCTGGTGCAATGTCATCGTGAGCTTTTTCCCAACCTAAGCCAACTCCCCTTAAAACAGCACGTTGAAGCGGACAGCGTTTTGGCATGCATGACGGATGTCAAAGACGCCTCAGTCTTTGAAAGTTCACAACCTCATCGGCAGACTAACCTGCCTCGTCTGGTACCCTTCGCCTATCCGGAGGATCACTCACACGCTCAATTTAACTGAAAGTAATCATTTATTTATTGACGTTCCAGGTTGATAGATATATAGAACGGTATTTCACAGGTAGGACGAAATCTTTGGGTTTAAACATATTCAAACCGAACGCTACTGTATACGCTCCTGGCATCTTTCATTATTATAAAGGCCCGATGCATTCCTTATATGCAGTACAAACATGCATGTTCGTGAGCAAGTAACTAACAGAAACAAGATTTCAACTATGGTGAATTTTCAACGACTTAGCAGGAGCTTCAGCTAGTGGGATTTTATCCGACCGCATATAGCTGAAAAAATTTTCAAACACTCTAGACGTTCTACTCAATTCAAGTGAGAATAAGTCAAAACCTGACAAGCCGAACTAAATTTCAACCAAATGAACTGACCTATAAAAACAACAAATCCCATTTGAAATCATAAGTCCAAGTAAACGTCAAATAACCAGTATACAATCACTTCTGTAAAGGAAATCACTTATAGAAACCCATATGTATATTTGTCTAAGAATGAGAACATCAGACAAATAGATAGTAGAATGCTTGATCTATGATACAATACACTGACGAACATACGTCAACCAGCTGATCGAGCAAAGGGACAGAGAAACAGGGAAGCTAAGGTTCACTAATAAATTTAGGCAATTGCAAAAAATGCAATAGCCCGAAAAGACTTTAGCAACAAACCATACATTTGAAATCTATCCGGTAGTGCATGAGAACAAAGATGATAGTAATCAAAATCATAGAATATAACAAACGGAAATATTGAGGTTTTGTTGCAAAAAGGTGAACAAGGAGACATGTGCATATGATTTGATTACACTCAAATGAAAAATTAGTATTGGTAGGATCAGTGTGGATAAACCAATACAACTTAGCTACATTTTGAGAGCGACAAAGAAAGAGGTATAATATTTATGTACGGTAATTTGTTGAAGTGTATAATAAGCAAACCACAGCAGAATCAGTAGAATACGAAAGACAAGCATTTACTAAAGAGGTGACAGGAAGAGTGAGGTTGAGTTTGGACAGATAGTCCTACTTAAACATTGGAGGATAAAAAGGAATTGTAATTGAAAATATTTATATAGAATGGCGGCACAAAAACAGCGATTCTCAAGAAAAACAGTTCAACAGAATAGTGTACTGGTAAAACAAATGGTTTCAATCTATAAAGAATTTGATTGACAAATTATCACTGAATTCAAGACTGTATAGAATTACAATAATCATGTGCAACCAGAATAAAGATGCAAATGTATAATGATGCCAAACAGAAAGCTAAAGGTAATTAGATTGCATAATAATATAACATACTTAGCGTAGACTACTACTTTGCGACCGGGACATAACCCTGAAATCAAAACAAAATAAGTACAGGACACAAAGAACGAAAAATTGGTTTTCATAGCAAATATTAGAGATAAATCCTGATCAGTTCATCATAATGTAAGCAATTCTTCATTATTCCGAATTAAAAACTAGTCTTAGAAAAGAAAAACGGAACAGAAGCGAATTTAGTTCTGTCAATAGAGTAAATCAATCAGCATCAGAGTCACAAATTCAAAATAATTACGAGCAACTTCCACTACAGAAAATCAGCTAAGAGTGATGAGAAGAGCCCGGATGAACACCGCTATTAGCACCACCACTAGGTTTTAACGAAGGATATTGTTCTTGGTAGAAAGGCTGGGAGGTTGACGGATTGACGCCAGGAAACGCAGTGCTACCTTGAGGACACATCCAACGATTTGGTCCACCTGCTGATCCACCAGATACTCCACTTAACATGCCCGAGTTTCCACTGCTACTACCATTATTCCAAGGGTACATATTTGCCATTGCTGCCATAGCTGCAACCATCATAGATTGCTGATGTTGTTGTCCTGCGACTCCATTAACAGTAGGTAACGTGTTTGGAAGCATTGCCGAATTGTTATAGATGTTAATTTCACTCGGATTACCAGGAGGAACTTTCATGGGTGGGCAATTTACAGGAAAGGTGTTACCTAAATTATTAGAAGGCCACATAGGTGGAGGCCAGTTGGTATGTGAATTCGCTGCTCCAGAACCTCCAGTCATCAAGTTCGAATGTTGTTGTTGCTGTTGCTGCTGCATCCAATTCATTGTAAATGCCACTAACAAACTATTAGCATTAGAGTTAACCGAACACTGTTGAGAAGGGGCTTGTGGATGCATTGCTGCAAGCGGATTATTCATTACTGGTGTCGCAGAATTGATTGACATAGTCAAACTATTATTAGCTGACATATTAGGGTAGACCATGCTAGATGATGTGACAGAATTAAGAATATTAGCTTGTCTGCGACGTTCAGCACCTATTGGTTGTATATGGGCAGAGTGATTTTGGACAGAGCCTTGTGCTGCACTTGATGGGATACCTAACTGAACCCCATTACCCATTGCTGGAGCACAAGCTGTTCCAACATGCAGTGATGAACCAAAACCTAGAAGGAATGAAGATGTAAAATAAAACTTCTGTTTCAATAAAATCAAGAAACGCTGAAGATCGATGGAAAGAATATTGGCATTATCAAATAGGGTGTCTTATGAAATCTTTGATTTATGAGTTTGCTGATAATAAGGTTTGTTGGCAGACAAATGAAACAAACATACAGCGTCGCACATAACTGCATCGGTTCAAGTTGCCGCACTTAACAGTGGCATGCAAAAACAACTAGATAGAGATAAGTGACAAAAAAGTCAACAAAAGTGTGAGACGAGAACTTAAGTATAAAAGTTAGTGAGACCATTCAAGCTTCGGAAGACGTTAGAGAGTGAATACATAGGCGCTATTGTAACCGATTTTCAGTCATGTTACCAAGGCTTTGCTACCAATCACTCCTATCTTCTTGAAGACTCTAGCCAGACAACCTACATCTTCTACAGATGGCTAAGACCAAATATCGGAGACTTCATGGCTAGTGAAATATCTTATTTTGGTCATCGTGAGCCCTCTCCCAGCCTAGTCCAACCCCTGCTAACACTGTATGTTGAGGTAGGCAGTGGCTCAGTATCCAAAAGGCGTGTCTAAAACGAGTCAGCCGTTAAAGGTTCGCAATCTCATCGATTATCTTCCATTCTTCGCCTAATCTTGATATCGCCGTTATTTAAATGTTACACTACCTTTGCTTATTCTTGCTAAGTTTTAGCCGTTAGCACCCATTAGTCTTCAGAGAGGGGATAGTAAAATATTGTGCTGTCGGCTGCCAACCCAGAGCACATCTAATTTTGACAGGTAGTGCAGACGCGTTGCGGCACACCAATCAAAGTAAGGTTTAAACTAAGGTCACTAACCACCAGTTTTGAAAAATAGAGTTAATACCAGTACTTTTAACATCATGTTTTCTAGCAAAGTGGAAAATAAACTCAGCAGATAAAATCTAATATTGCTTACCGTTAAGTAAGTGAGAAGCATAGTTCGTATTCGGATGGATAACTGATGAAGAATTACACACAGGTTGCATGTAACCAGGTACAAACGGAGGAGTGTAAGATGGGCCTGAACCGGATGAACACATGGCGAACGGTGTTTGATTAATCATAGGGTGTGATGTAGCACCCAATCGAGTTGGTAAACCACTTGTAGATTGATGATTTACTGCTGAACCTAATGAAAGTTGTTGCTGAAGAGGTAAAGGCTGTTGCTGAGTCACTGGAAAAAGTGAAGGGAATTGATTATTCAAAGGCATTGAAGAATTTGATGGAGGACACAAATTGCTTGGAAATCCATTTAGAACTGTTGGTCGTGATTCTAAGAATCCAGAAGATGTAGCAGACATCAGTGGCTTTGATCGCAAGGTATTTATAGTCGCATGTGCAGGGGTTGATGGTAATATGTTTGTTATGCTCGAGACTCCGTTGGCATTTTGAGCTTGGTGATGGGTAGTCTGCATATATGGTAATCCCATATGATTTGACTTTTGTAGAGATGCCTGCGGGACCATTTGACGCATCATACCAGACTGGGATCCTTGAAGGGAATACTGATCCTGAAACTGATCGGTTGCAGAGCGACTAGCGAAATCACTTCTAAGTAATGACGCTTGCATCAATGAATCTGTGGACTCAGCACTGCTTTTCAAGTTGGACGTAATCTGATTAAGTGATTGGAAAGACGGTTGAAAGGCTAATGAATTGGAGTTCAAATCAGGCTTCGGAACAGACCACATTGTTGGCATAGAATGAAGGGGATCAATGGAGCTTCGTACTTGTGAAACATTGGTGACAACAGGGGCAGATTTCGTAGCTGAATGACTATCAACTGTCGAGCTATCCACACTAGTAGATATGGTGGCTAATGTATTCGGTGTTACTATCAACGAAGAGTTCTTCACAAATGCTGATGACGATAATGACACCGCGGATGGATCAGGAGTTTGCCAGTCACATGATCTGTCAGGTCGAAAATGGTTGGATAATGAATCATGACGAAAATCGGGATTATGAAGATCTGAAGAGACAGCCCGCTTTGTAGGTGTGAATAGCATAGTATCACTAGTAGTACCATTTACAGGAATGCCTGTATCGTCGCTAACATCTAAGTACAGAAGTGATGCAACTAAGGAATCAACCAAATCAAGTGAAACGGGTGTAGCTGTTGCGTTAGCATTCCGTTGATGAGCACTACGCTCAGATCCTGGGGCTCTGGCGAATGACTTTGTTTGAGTAGTAGTTGTAGGCGGTGTAGAACTATAGGTTGTATTAATTCCACCGGAACTCGCAGGCGTATTCGGTTGAGAAGTGCTAACAATCCCACATATAGGAGTCACTGTCAAAGGCTCGTAATTGGATGGGGAGGTGGTAGGATGTACTGCAACCGGAAATGAATTCGAAACCGATATTGTATGGATGGCAGACATGGAGTTGTCATAGACAGTGATAGAAAGCATATCAGTCAAGTCATCAGATGAAGTGATTTTCTTTCCATGACCAATTTCACAAGAAATTCCCTCAAGGGGACAAGCAGTCATGGATGAATTTGAAGTTTGTGTGGCAGATAAATAAGAAGGGTCATTCATGTTTGATGCAGTGACGAAAGAGTTTGATGATGAAGATGCTGTTCTCAATTGAGCCTTAAGGCATTTAGAAGAGCACAAGGGGGGAAAACTCGCTTCATCCAGTGATTCATGAGTAAAATCCCCACCATTAGATAAAGATGGAATAAAATCCGAGAACATATGGCTGCTGGAAGGAAATGAAGACAGGTTGAGAGATAGTAACGAAACTGGTGTTGTCGTCGATAAGATTGGCGCTGGTGCAGACATTAAATTATGCAGAGTAGTTTTTGATTGACTCCGTTCATCATTTACTGTCTGACTGTCTACTTGCTTGGAGGCGCGTGGTGATTGAGTATTTAGACCCGCTGCAGCAACGGAAGCAAAGTTGCCCTTCGAGGAACTGCTGTTCATTACTTTGGAACTCCAACTTAACGAACCTGAGGATGAAGCTTTTACGCCCGTGGAGCTCGAACATGTTATTGGCACTAAAGGAACTACGGCGTTTGAGAACGTATTGATATTATTGTTGTTAGAGGAAACGGTAGATATCGCAGGTATCTTACTGGGTTTGTTAACTATGGGGATAGGAGTTGGCTGAGTTGAGGTAGATCGTGTGGTACTTGCAGCTACAGGATAAGCCACAGATTTAGCAGTTCTACGAGGAGTTCGACCATTTGGATTTACAACTTTGGTGCCTGGTGGTGCAGTTTTCACTGTACTAAGGACTGTTATTGTAGATGTACCATTTACCCTAGAAGTAAGGGAGCTTAGGACGGTACTAGGAAGAGGCATGCTTGAAGGTAACGTAGAGGACTTCCTCAGAGCATTATACATTAACAGAACATCATTACCAGCAATGGATCCGTCCAGAAGCCCTTGAATTGTCTCATAAGTTCGTTGAACTGCCTCACCAGGTCCTTTCAAGTAAACCATGCGCTCTGTTACTTCATCACTTCGTGCACTTTCAATATCTATTTGAATACCACTCATGTTTCTTAAAGCACTAACAACAGCTCCTCCTTGACCGATAACTTTGCCGATATCATGTCTTGAAACAGGAATGGAGAGTCGGCGTTTATACGAACTGTTGCTCGAATTGGTGGTTTTCCAGTCAGCTGTTTCATGAGACACACGAGAAGATATATTTGTACTGACAGCAGTGCGCTGGGATCGTGTGCTGTTGGATGGAACGACCACAGTCCATGTGTTGGAATCGCTCATAGTTCCCGAACTCTTCCCTATGTTTAAATATTGATCAAAATGAGCGTTTTGGGATTCGATGAGCAGGTTCCAGCTTTCTTCGTCACCACTTGGAGAAATTGCATAGCATGGGGATAGTAAAGAGTTATCCAACTCTCGAACTTCTGGGCTAGGTGATTTACTAGCTTTATCAGAACTGAAAATAGTGTGGTTTTCTGCGGCTGCTCGTTTAGCTGCTCTTTGGCTTTGTTTCTTATTCCGATGCTTTTCCCGCTTAGCTTCAGTTACAGCAGCAGCAGCAGCACTGAATTCAGGATCTTGTGAACCGAAGCTGTTAGCGACAGAATCTGAGTCTTGATGAACAGTAGGTTTTTCACCCATCTTAACGGAATTTTCAGAATTAGCATTATTCGTATTATTTTCCAGCTGGTGATTAGAAGACTTGTTAGGCACTGATGACATGGGAACCGAAGTAATAGGTGAACCAGAAGAACATGGTTCGTCGTCCAAATCACAAATTGCGGTGCTTGATAGGTGGTTGCATAGTTCAGATTCATCTTGCTGAAGGACACGTGACAGAGTGCGACTGTGCTCGGTGCTGAAAAAAAAATTGAAAAGAAATAAATAAGTACCTGAATATGACTCGGTAACATTAAGTGGATGCATGTGCAACACAGACATGGTGGGCTGGCAATAGAGAATACATTTGTGTGAGAAAATGTCAGAAACCAGATAACTATTATCAATAAATCAACACTACAGCAAACGTTATACAGCCTTCAGAAAAGGCTTATATCTTTTGGGTTACCATCTTTCAACTCATGAAAATTCGTCCGTTCAAGTAAGTTAGACTAACATGTTTGAAAACAAATATGTAGAGAATACATGAAACAGAAAAACCAAAAGAGTATTTCTGTTAGCTTAACAGTATATTTTTAAAACTAACAGCAATTGCAATGAAAATCAAAAGTATATGATATCCCTTCAAAAGAAAAATTCTGTTGATACACAAAAGAGGGTCAAACTCCAGTAGACATTCATGAACCGAACAACTCAATCCATGTCGCACAGTTTAGTTTACAGAAGCATAGACTATATAAATAACGACAGTAACTTTTATATTTGTAATTTTTACAGCTCCACGTCCCAAAAATATTTTTAAGCCTCAGGCAAAATTCAATTCATCAGCTCGCATAAAATTTAATTTGAAGATATGAATACAACAACAAACGCTACTACCCAACTAATATCATTCACTAAATATTTCAATGTCGAGAAAAGAGGTACACGAAACTATGGATTCATTGGAACGTGATAGATCGACCGGGACCGACAGCTGATACCTAGACACGCGACACGCTCTATGCTGAGAAAGCAACAGTGGTCAAACAACTGCAGTCATGGTCATTCCATGTTACACACTAAACCTTTTTTGGGTACTTCAAGGAGAACCAGTAGTCCGCGATGTGAACAGTCATGAAGTGTTGATCACCCTTACCCTTATATACTTCCTATAGTACACAAAGTGGAATGAAACATAACATACCTTACTAACCTCTGTCTCCTTCTTTGCCTTCGCTTCATGATACCAATATTAAACCTCTTGCAAGTCCCCCTAGTTCTCAAAATGTGTCCGTAAACCAATTATGCAACTCGGAGAAACACAATTTCTGGTATCCTTCAACGTTCGAACCCTGTGCAAAGTTGAACAGCAGCTACATATGACTAGAATTTTGAGCGATGGATATATGCTGTATGAGACACGTATGCTAAACTCAAGTGTGATTATTTACTTCACCTCATCTGCAAATATATTAACCTGAAAAACAAAGTTGAAAAAGTGACCATAGATTCAACCGCTAGCTCCCGTGAACTCACTGGTGTAAAGCAGAAAGCGCACTTATGAACTGGATATCAGTAAAATATCGTCTACGTAAAATTCAACCGAATGAATCCCTAAAAACCAGGAACAATAGTAAAACTTAGCCATGGACATTCATAAACACCAATGGGTTGAAGAGTTTTCGCAGTGGAAGCAGGCCGGCGAAGGCGGGAAATACGGAGAAGGCATAAGAGTTGCGAAACACTTGGCGATTACTTAAGCTTATTGAGGATACAGGTAAGAAGAGGACCACAGTAGGTGGAACCATCAACAAAAGGGTGCAACGACTGATAACCTCAGGATAGGTGTCCAGAATAGTCGGCATAACAGTTTGAAGATTAGTTTAAATAGCTTACAGCAACGCTTCTGTTGCCCAACATTCACCATGGACCTGAATGACAATTAGATGTCAGTTTCCCAACCCTCATAGAAATTGGGAAGGTTGCAGCTACCCTTTCTCTGTCCCTTTGCTCGATCAGCTGGTTGACGTATGTTCGTCAGTGTATTGTATCATAGATCAAGCATTCTACTATCTATTTGTCTGATGTTCTCATTCTTAGACAAATATACATATGGGTTTCTATAAGTGATTTCCTTTACAGAAGTGATTGTATACTGGTTATTTGACGTTTACTTGGACTTATGATTTCAAATGGGATTTGTTGTTTTTATAGGTCAGTTCATTTGGTTGAAATTTAGTTCGGCTTGTCAGGTTTTGACTTATTCTCACTTGAATTGAGTAGAACGTCTAGAGTGTTTGAAAATTTTTTCAGCTATATGCGGTCGGATAAAATCCCACTAGCTGAAGCTCCTGCTAAGTCGTTGAAAATTCACCATAGTTGAAATCTTGTTTCTGTTAGTTACTTGCTCACGAACATGCATGTTTGTACTGCATATAAGGAATGCATCGGGCCTTTATAATAATGAAAGATGCCAGGAGCGTATACAGTAGCGTTCGGTTTGAATATGTTTAAACCCAAAGATTTCGTCCTACCTGTGAAATACCGTTCTATATATCTATCAACCTGGAACGTCAATAAATAAATGATTACTTTCAGTTAAATTGAGCGTGTGAGTGATCCTCCGGATAGGCGAAGGGTACCAGACGAGGCAGGTTAGTCTGCCGATGAGGTTGTGAACTTTCAAAGACTGAGGCGTCTTTGACATCCGTCATGCATGCCAAAACGCTGTCCGCTTCAACGTGCTGTTTTAAGGGGAGTTGGCTTAGGTTGGGAAAAAGCTCACGATGACATTGCACCAGCCAAGAAATCTCTGATATTCCGTCTTAGCCATCTGCAGATGCAGGCTGCCTGGTAGGAACCCTGAAGATGATAGAAATAATTGGCTGCAGAGGCTCGGTGAGATGGCTAAAAATCATCCAAAATGACGCACGTGTATTCACTCTTTGACGTCAACCACCTTACTGTCCAACATCACAGAGAACCAACACATTACCTACCTCTCCTGGAATAGGCATTTGTATTTGAGTGGTGAGAAATGGATTCTGAACATTCTCAAACTGTCACTCAAGGTGTCCGGAAGTCTATGCATCATGTCAGCATGTTCATCTAATAGTACTGTACGATGTGTTATCTTCATACTCTAGATCTAATAAGGATTCTCCTGTGACAAGATCAATCCCTGTGAAATGAGACAACGAGAGGGAGACCTCGATAAGAAGGTCTCTGACAAAATTTGATGAGAATGGGGAGAGTGGAGATCCGTGATGGACACGACTCGAGGTGCACAACATACCCATCTTTTTGAAGACTGGGACCATCAGCAATTGAGGATGGTTAGAGGAGGGTCATGTCAGGTTCCCATACACTAGCTAACACTACAGTTAACCTGACCAATAGTTCGCCATCACTTCATAGCGTTAAGTAGTTGCGGGATGCACAATTGAATCGCAGTCGGTGGAAGCCACATCAGATGATGTCTCTGTATACGTTGGTAGTTCATGCTGCCTAGAAACAGATGCTTGTCTCAGTACAGTTTTAGCATGCGGTCGCTGTTATTTCTTCGTTCGGCTGAGATTCAGAAAACGCCACATAAGTGCCTTTCTACCTCACTGGGTCTACCAATTTGTGCATGGAAATCCCCCGCTACAACAACCGAAGTAGCAGGCTAGATAGTCTTTAGTACATCTCATCCTTCACTTCTTCCAAACCACAGAAAGTGTGTGCATAGGTAAGGGTTACTAAGAGGCAACGGCAAGTTTTCCTATTCTTGTCAGTCCTGACTGCGATTAAGTCGATCAGCACATAACTGACTGTCAATCGATATCCACTACAGCAGTGTACTTTTTGCCTGAGCACATGCCATATACTTACACTTGTAAGACTGTGAGAACTAGACGTTGAATTTCCAAAACCTCAAAGAGTGAGTCTTCCAGATTCAACATTTTGGCCGGGTGAGAATAAGTGAATAACCACAATGCGTACCATATGCGTCTCTCACAGAAACAGTACACAGCTTTGAACTGAGATGCCAGAGATTTAGCTAGCGAAGTCCGTTTCTGACTAGATGGAGAGTGATGACGTTGAAAGCTACAATGTGTAATTTTGAGTGCGGTTTATGAGATGGATGACGCTGTTCCGTGAGATCGAAGGCTCATCAAGAACTGCAATAAACTATATACGGTGTAGGGATGTTGGTTGAGATGCGAAGGAACGCTGAATGTTAAGGATATGGAAATTCGATAATTATTTGAAATCGCTTGAGTGCTAACAGGGTTATGAGGGTGCTTGTCTTTATCTGACTGCCACATTGTTGGAGGCTAGCTTCCCATGAAGTGTTGGTTTATGACAACAGAAGCTAAGGGACATCTAAGTAATTATAAATAAATAAACACACTCAGCAACCTTGGGCACATTCTTGCATTTGCCAATGAGGCACACGAAATGTGAGAATGCAGCTGCGCGTTACTCGCTAGGTGTGACGATGTTCGAACCTGCAGCCCACTGGTTGAAAATTATTTACCTAAACCGATGGGTCACAGCCTCACACAACAATTATTTGATTGTGTCGGTTTACCCATGGCGTTTTCAGAAGCTCGATATCTAATTTTGTTATCTTACACTCCGCTTATGAAACCTTGTTGTTGTCACCACTAAGCCGTGGGTAAATGGGTGTGCGATTTTCAGGGCCGACTTTTTTTAACCATCTCCCTCTCTTACAGCACGATAATGATGGCCATCAAAGGAAACAACATTGCTGTCACACCACCATCCAACCAGCAGTGCGACTGGCCCTTGGAGCCCATCAAAGATTGAAAAGTTATACTATATTGGTAGATACTTTACTCACTACTACCTAACTGATCTCTCTCGTGATATATATATATATATATATATATATATATATATATATATATATATATATATATATATATATATATATATAGCGAGAGAGAGAAATCAAAATATTCTGTATGTCTAACTTCGCATTAAACAACCTTAGTTAAATGACTAGATGATAAGACGTGAAAAGCATTTAAGCTTGTCCAGGGTAATTCTTAGAAAAAGACGAATGTACAAATATCATGAACACGCTAGTATTAAGACTCACTTAGACTGTTTATCATGATCCTGATCTACTTCATCAAGTTGTTCTGCTTCAGTAACTTCATCGCCTTGAGGTGTTTTACCCAAAGTTTGTTTTAGGTTTGTTTGATTTTTGCCTTTTACTTGACGTTCCTTCTCTTGCTTCGCCTTACGCTTCATACGCTTTCGCTCTCGTTTACGCGCTTGCATCGCTTCCCGATTAGCTCTTTCCTCCTCCTCTTGTTCAATTTGTTCCAAAAGGCAATCGGCATTCTTTCTTGCCTCACCTTCTTGCTTCTCCTTAGCCGCTATTATGATTTCTCTGCACTGCTGACAGCGTTTGACCAAATCCTTCGAGTTTTGAAAAAATACAACACGATTAAGTGTATTGATCTCACGGATCGATAAATAAATTGTGAACATTTAGACGTGTACAACCTATAGTCCTCTGAAATATAAGCCACATTACTTCACGAATAAATTATGCTGTATTAGTGGAGGACATGTTGAAAGGTACTACATACCTTGTTTACTTATATATACGTAGCTAGATAAATTTCAAAACAATCAAAAGAATAAATCATCATCACCATAGGAGTATATGCTTTCGTTGAGTATCGAAACGCTGGAAAGACCACTTTTCAAACAAAATTCAATACAGTTAACGCATAGAGATAATAAATAACAAGTGGTTACTACAAAACGTAATTAACTGAAATGAAATAAAGCGGCAGGCGGCGGAAGACTTAACGACAGTGTTACCAGTTCAAAATTTCTCGGTGACATACCGTGTACCAACGGTGAACTGCAACTGGAATCAGTTAAATGTAACAGTCTACACAAATACAAGTAAATTTACAACCAATTATGTTAATAAGTAGGCCAGTTAACCGAATACACTAGATTGATTTGCAAAAGGACAATACTGAAACATCCACCGATTACAACAACTTACCAGTCAAATGACTCAGAATAGATACGTCGTTAGTGCACGCGTACTCTCTTCACCCACAAACAAGTCTAACTCGTGGCATAAAGTTAGCGAGTATATATGCGCACCGATAACAGATGTGAGTTGTGATAAACTTTACATAAAAGGTAATTAGTAACTGTATGACTGAAGTTTGCTATAGCCGAAGCTCATGTTGATTTTCCTTTCAATTTTAATCATCAGTCAGGATGAAATATGGATAACTTGGTAAAATATATGTGAACGCTGCTCAGTTTTAATTACATTGTGATGTATTAAGTGTTGTGCTTCAAGTTGAAAACAGGGCATATATGATAATGTTAGCATGAGACGAAATTAAACACACTGAAAACAAATCAAAAATCATTGTAATAAAGCGCATATGAAAATCAAAGAGCAGAGATATATCACTGTATTGTATGCGAAATGACTTGTGGGGTGTTGTTCACTGTTAACATGACATTCATAGTGGCCAAGTAGTACGGTATTCAGACACAACCACATATATTTGATTAACAGTTAATACAGATTTGCTAGCGATTGTAAGCGCATACTTTAGTCATTATCCGTAAGCATAATTCCTAGGCTTGAAATGATGGGGAATATTTGTAGCTCAGGTGGGTGGTCTTGGTTGTATTGTGTTCTCTGAGCTGGGTTGTTTAATCGTGAAGCTTTCATCGCCCTGCTAGACGATGACGTCGTCTAGAGAACACAATACAACCAAGACATTTCCTAGGCTCCGGTCAGTAAACAATCAATAGATAACAAACAGAATGGCTTACCACATTACAGAATGAACAACGTCCAGATGAAATAGAGTCGAAACTAACAGAACATCCACTGGACGAGGAAATTCTGTCTGTACTATGAATCGATGCAACGTCATCTTCAATAAGTAAGCTTTCATCATCTGCAAGTACACTGCTACAGTAACAATCCTCATTTAATGAACAGTGTGCTGAATATTTTGACAATGTGTCTGACAAACTCGTGGATAAAAATTCCAATTCAGAGGAATTTTGAAGGGTACAGAAACTGGACACGATTGGATTCTCATCGCGAAAGGATAAAGCAGAAAGAGAAGTTGAAGATGGGATGTTTGTTAAAACATGGGAAGGTTTCCAGTGTTTGAGAGAATATGAAGATGAATTCTGCGCTGCAATTTCAAAACGTGTACTCGCTATCACATTTGAAGAGTTATACTTAGTCAGATAGAGATAATGTGTCATGACCTTCAAAGAACATGGGAGATGATGTTACAACGCATGCTTTCTCTCGATAACCTGAGCAGATTAGATGGTTTTCATAAAACGATGATTTATTCGTCTCAATAGAAATTCACAGGACACGACTCAATGGCATTCACGCAAAAACGAACACAGACATAAACTAGTTGTTAGAGCAAACATTTGCTTTAAATATAATTCGCTTCGAGAACAAAAACAAAATACTAGAGAATGTACAAGCCAATAAACGCTTGGGGCTATAGCACGTGATACACATAACTATAACAGACCGACCTCAAGGTAAATAAAAAACAAGGATTAAGTTGATATGTATATGTGAGAAAAACACATAACATGCGGAGATGGAGTACGAACACACACAAGGTTAGTCAAACTTGATTGGATAATGACTATTGGATAGACATGAGCGGTGGGAATTACAGAACGGAATGCAGCAAAAAGCGGGTGAGGCTAAAAGTTATCCCCAGATGTTATCGTACTCCCCATACATTGTCCAGTTGATTATGGAGATATCAACATTTTCTGTTTTTGTATGAATATTTTAACTATTTGGATGGTTTTCACAATGCCATCTGTCAATAAATCGTGTTTCAAACCGTTAATTTTATGTTCAGTGTTGGCTACATTTCCACTTCTTAGGTGGAAAGTAAGTACAGTTATTCAGGATAAATGATGCTCACGGATCACATTGAGTTAGTTGAGGCTTCAACTTACGTCCAAAAAAAGGAATTAGGATTGCGGTTTTTGCTTCAGAAAATATAGTCACAAAAGACATAAAATACATATTTTCAGACAGTATGCTATAACACCTGGGGATAACTTTTAGTCTCACCCCAAAAAAGGGAAGTAAGGGTAGTGGAGAAATTAGTTATATTTCTCGCGGTAATGGGACGCTACGCTGTATGACCTGCATAACCCGTTTAACGATAAAAAAGCATGGTTATTAAGAGATAAGACTTAAGTATCGGATGTGACTGTAAACTGATGGAAAATTAGGAGTAATAACACCTACGTATTTGCAATCTTACCTAACTACTAGTAGGGATAGCAGTAAGAAAAAAGTTGAGTGCGACAAAAATAAAAGGTAGGTGAAAGCCATACTTGTATACGAAAAGAATGGACTGAATATCTCTAAAGTAACAGATTTTTGACAACGTTCACTTTATGATAAAAACATGCAAGACCATGGACAAGTAATAGTACAATAGAATAATCGTTAATATTGGGTGAACTTTTGAAATAAAAAAGTGAAGACCCACCTTGTCCGTTACCGCCGTTTTGATATGTCTAATACAATCCTTATCAGATGGAAATTGAGTCACATATTGAACTAGTAGTCGTACCACATTAATATGACCTTTACGAAATGCTGCCATTAAACAACTGACTTTTCTATTGTCTTGGCTGTTCACATCTGCATTGTACTGGATGAGACTTTGGACGACCTCAAGGTGACCACCTAATAAACAAATAGTGATAATGAAAAAGTGAGGCCAAACACATAGAAATAAACACAAACAATAAGAAAATATCTGCGGGTGGTGAAAAAGAAATGAAAAATCGACGATAGGGGTGGCTTACCATTTGAAGCCAACCATAGTGGTGTGGCACCTTTCTTATTTCGTGCTTCGACGACTGCACCCCTATAAATTAAAAGAAGAAAATTATACTACTTAGAATTGTCAGTAGGTGCACAGATGAGTAGAGAAAAAGCTTCCACAATAGGGGAAACATGCGTTCCTGTCTTTTCCAACTTATTTATTGTATAGAGGTAGTTAAAAAAAGCTTTATCTACTAAGTAGCTCATTATATAGTGCTTAGCTAATTCAGCTGCTACTGACTCCATCGTATTCAAAGTATAATTGGTAGTTATATAACTCTTACGAATAAACCGACTTAAACTTACTTTTCTAAGAGTAAGTTAACGAATTTGGCATTGCCTTTATCTGCAGCGATGGTTAAAGCCGTATCTCGAGAGCTTGGTACGGGTGATGCATTGACATCAGCCCCATGGTCCAGCAGAATCCTTCCAACCTCCACATAATCACCTGAGGCAGCTTCCATTAAGGGAGTAAGACCAGTTTTCGCACGATGTTCAATGTTAGCCTTGCGTTCAACCAGGAGTTGTACGACTTCAAAACGACCTTGGAAACATGCTAAAGTCAAAGCAGTGTTGCGATTAGTTTCAATGTGAGCATTTATATCTGACCCATGTTCAAGGAGCAAACGGACAGCGGCAGTATGACCATTCATAGACGCTAACATCAGTGGAGATATACCAAGTTTCGATCCAGTTCTGGAATTTATTTCGGCGCCGTGTCGCAAAAGTAATTGAATAACCTCAACATATCCCCCGGAGGCAGCTAAACTCAGTGGAGTATAGTCAGATATATTGCGATGTTCTTTATTTGCACCACGATTTAATAGTTCTTCGACAATCTATAAAGCACAAACAGTGAAATTGAGACACACAAGAAATATTTTACAGTCTTGACATTACCGTTTAAATGGACGGTTATAAAGTATTCACTGTCACACTTAACTGTAAGTATTTCAGTGCGCACATTAAAGGACTAATATTTATGGAAATGTACAACAAAGTGTAGCGCAGAGCGGAATATTGAAATTCAGTACTTATGTTTACTTATAGGAACTTGAATAAAACAAGAACAACAATTTGAGCAGAGCATTGAAGGATGGATAGTATGTGATTTAAAAGTCATTTCACCAACACGTTTTCTTCCAGGGATAATTTCTGTGCTAGCTTTTCCATAAACCTGTTAACCTCGTATGATTTAACATGAGGGTTAAAAAATATTTAGGGGAATATATAAATCTGAATAATCATAGGTGAATCTGTACAACGAAATTACCAGTAAAAACTGACCTCCAATTTCCCATGAGAGCACGCAATGGACAAAGCTGTATCCTTTGTGCGATCTACTTGTGCCTCTATATCTGCTCCGCAGTCGAGAAGTAATGCGACAACAGCACGCTGATTTGCACATACAGCTGTATGAAGTGGTGTGTGCGACTTTTTATCACGATGCTCTTTATCAGCGCCACGTTCCAACAAAAGACGAACAAGGTCAACAAAACCACCACTGCATGCCAAAGTTAGGGCTGTCTCCATACTAGATTCAATACAGGCATTTACATCGATCAAGGACGGTACGTGCAATGGTGATATAGTATCACCCACCATAGTTAAGTTGTTGGAAGCAACTGTAGCCATATCGTTTGGTGATAAACCATGATTAGGTGATAACATAGATTGCGATCCTAAAGGCAAGGTTCGGGTCCTACTTACTGGCAGCAATGCTGAATGTGAGACGTGCTGATGAGCCGCAATCGCTGCAGAGTTATACGCCATTGTTCCTGTCTGGTTCGTCATTATACTATCTGCAGAAAGACTGGACGGTTGCTGAGGGACATGAAGCAAATTGTCAGGACTAATTAGATTATCACCACAAGTTGATACATTCAATGGATAGTGATGATGATGTATATTGTTATGAACACCGACATGACCTAAATTAGCTAAAGAAGCTGTGGTCGCCGTCCCATCAAATGCACATGCAAAATGCGATCCAGGATGCTAGAAGTAAAATTTATAAAAAAGCTTTTGATATTCTCAACATCCAAGAAAAGCTTGAAAATAAATAACTAATGAATACAGATTAAAGAATAATTGTTTTTATATGATACCGTCGTTGATTGGACCGAATTGATCGGTCTCTATCAGCATATGGGCTCCTGTGTAGATGCCTCGATATTGCCAGAGTTCTAATTATGTTAATGATGGATTCCACTGCTAGCCACGATCCATCATTAAAATACAGATTATAATATACTGATGTAACGGAAAAGAGCACTTTGGAATTATGCAAAGTTATTAAACGTGCATTGACTCAGCGTTGCTATGATACGTTCGAAATGGCTTAGTTACAGACACTTTCGAAACCTATTCAATCCTGTACGTGATACCTTTTTTATATAATAGTCATTAGAATACATATTACAGGCAGATAAACAAAATAAACGCAGAACCTCGCACATAAGTGGATTCGTTCAAGTTGTCATAAATCACAAATATATGCAACCTATTGGACAGAAGAAGACTGATGTCAAAGCAGAAAAATGTGATTAGAAGAAGTGACAATTTGAGCATGAAGGTTGGTGAAAATAATCAAGCTCTAGAATATATCACAGTAAATACATTTGCATGGTTGTCACCGCTTTCAACCATATCACCGAGGGTCTCCGATCATTCATCCCTGCGGTCTTGAGAACCCCACTGACAGTTTGCATCTCATCGCTCTCAGACTTTTAACTTAATCCAACTCCTGCTAGCATCGCACGTCGACATATGAGGTGCATCAACATACGCACCAGATGTCCAAGACACCTCACAACCTCATTGACAGACTAACCTGTCTTACCTAGTACCCTTCGCCCAACGTCGGGATTGCTAACGTCAGGATTCCACAACAGAAGAGCAGTGCTACGAAGACACCTGCGATCGAAAACCAGTAATTTCGTTACATCTACCTCCAACGACCAAGTCTCACAGAACGGAATGCATGACAATATATTCGTTCACTTACAGGTAATCAAAAACCACGCCAGCCGGCACCAGAGGTGACGAAAGTTGGGAATGTTGAACGGAGCTTCTGCATCTAAAGTGAGATTTCATCATCGACCAACCGATTAGGGCTGACACAACACCTCAGATGAATGAAGTGGTCAATGCATTCTGCTACTTCCCTCTCGGAATCCTTAAGCCGGGAGTGGTTGCAGCCAAGTCATGAAGCATCATCTTACATTTGACACGTGCCAACCACATTGGACACAATTCTAGTCACACTAATTCCTCTGCGGTTGTCACAGGATGACTTCTTTCTGATAAATCGAAAAGTGTTCTGCCCAACATTCTAACCGTCCGTCGTGAGAGGTTATCACAGCCTCATGCTTTTCACTGATGATCTAACTAAGCATCGTCCTCTCTCCACTTTCCTCAAGAAACCTGAATAATTGTTAAGTATTTACTAATGCCGAATGCCTCTCCACTTCTCACGCTTTGGCCATCCACCGACGCTCGCAGTTGTTTTCAAGGCTTTTATTTTACATTACATTTGAACTGCTTTTATTCCTCACTGTGGTCATATCCAACTAGAATGAATCACTTTCGGGGTACCGGTTACGAGTACATGCATAGCCACTAAGTCTAGTGTGGACGATACAGACTAACTTCTACTGTAAAAGTGTTTACTTCATTTTTACTAAATGCATCTCTAGAGTTCACCAAAAAATCGTAAAAAATCGATAATTTTTAATTTATTGCAAAACACAGAAGTGATAATTACTCCATAAGATTTTGAAGATATAGTAAGATAGATACGTGAAAGGACGTTTAGTTATTCGAGAGAGTTTGTGACATGTGACAAATCAGAGCTACACATTATCAAAAAAGAGATCGGAAAAGTAAGATGGGCCCTCATTAATCTGAAATAATCAGTGTAGAGGTCTACTGCACTCGGCACAATGAACGAGATCCGGATTTTCAACACCAACGTCAAGCCAGTGATTATATATGCTTCAGAAACTTGACGCGTCACGAAAAGCATTCCCAACAAACTACAGACATTCATCAACAGCTGCCTACGCTAGTTGCTGAAGACCAGATGGCCAGAAATAATAAGCAACAAGGAACTCTGGCCGGGTAACGAACCAACTAAGAGCCTATCACCCAACAGATATGCAGAAGGAAGTGGAGATGGATTGGACGGAACATACACTGAGAAGACCATTTAAAGACATCACGCGCCAGGCCCTCGAGTGGAGTCTAAAGAGGAAACGACGAGTTGGGCGTCCGAGGGTGACATGGAGGAGATCAAGTGGGGAAGAAATGGAAGTTTGTGGTCAGTCGTGGCGCCAGGTTTTGAAGACTGCAGAGAAGAGAGTGAAATGACGACGTGCTACTGAAGCCCTATGTTCCACAAGTAACCCAAGGGAAAAATAATAGTAAAATCAAAATTATTTCAGAATTTCACTGAAGTTAAGATGAATTAATCTGAGTATATATTGGATAGGGTGATTCGAATTCGTTTCAAACACACAAACAAATTATTACTTGAGCCATCAAACAAGCATCCCACGGTGGGATTTGATAAAGAAAATAATAGCAACTGGGAGAAATAATACCATAGTTTTCACCAGTCAACATGTAATAGGACAGCCATACAGTAGATAAATCTGATACTTACGTGGTAATGACGATAGCATGTTAGCATATCATGATTCAAACCAGCTTCATGAATGACAGCTTGCGTTGTTGGAAGACCCACAGTATCTACCAAGTTGCTCAAGTAGGAAGAATCGATACAAGGTCCTAACATATCAGCAGTTTTATCCAATCCGTAGTCATAAGAATTAAGTGTTGGCAAAATGGATTCAACAGTTGTTGAGGTAGTTTTGTTGACACGGCACAGGGAATTTGCAGTGTGTGTAGAAGATATAGAACATTCAGATGTTGACAGAGCAGAGCATGATGAATGACACGAAGACATTACTGGTGTTATATTTGCAGATGCACCAAAATTATGATTTTCGGAATCAGTAGGGTCTGATTGATGACCTCCTGGTTTGCTAAAAGACGAACCACACTCATCAGAAAAAGGAAGTGATTCTGGAAACTGCGAATCGCAGGTAGTCGAAAGAAGACCAGTCCACTGAGTAGTTTTAGATAAGACAGCATCAACTGTGGACGTGTGTATGCATCTAGGTGAAAAGCGTTGTTCTATAACATCACAACCGTTAGCAGGACAAGAAGAGTGAGAGCGACAGAGTGACTGTTGATCTATCAGCTTACTCAGTGCCAAAACAGCAGCATTAGTACTCATTGCGATTGCAGCTGCTGAAGAATCCACATTTGCTCCATTTTGTTGACTTATGGCAGTGCGAGCTGCCCGAAGCGCGCTAAATGGACACATTACCGCCTCAAAACGTCTAATTAATTCATCTTTATCTGCTTTCAAATCAGGCATAAGCTCTTGAAACAGTGCCTTGATAAAAAGTTTACAAAAGTAGGAGTTTATACAATTACTGAATACAAATTTGAAGAAACAAATACTTCCCAAAAATACAACCCGTTTAGAGAGGAAACCTTCATATTTTCAGTCGCAATTTCAAAAAAATTTGTATTAACACGAAAATGTATCACACCTTGCATCTCTAATGGCTGATCCACGAAGTTACTTCAAAATATATACATATAGGTGGGCATCCACTGATCGAAAACTGCTACCTCGACGTGATGGTTGGGTTTGCATATCACAATGACCCAACAAGATATGGCTGCTAGAACGCTTGCTCTCTCGAGCCTCTACAATTCAAGAGGGCTCTGTTGGATATTTTTAAGATAACAAGCAGTTACCGATATAATGCAAGCTGCCACCACTTATAATGGGGCTCTCATGGCGAAGTCGTGCCGCTGGCTTGAGCACGATGTAACACCACCACTGAGGCGTTCCCTGCATACCACCAACAGTACCATTGTGATCCTTCCTACCTTCTCATTAAGAAAAGAAGAAACACACCCACGTCTACCCTGAGGTCTTCAGGTGTCAATACTATGGGTTCCCAAATGTATTTAAATCAATCAAAGCTAATCCTCAAACTTCCGGGAAAAAACAGTGAGACGGCAGCATGAAGCGGGTCGCCTGTGACTTAATACAATCACGAACCACAATTATGAAGTCAATTTCTTCCTCAGGTGCACCTGAAGGAAAAATAACATTCTACACAGTGTGCAGACAGACACTTGCCAAAACTCTGGCATCTCGAACCACGGATGTGTGCTGTTTCTGTGTGACACATACTTGACCAATCATCGGCCTCTCACTCAATCTAACCCAGCCATTACGATGAACCTCGAAGATGAGGCAGATTGGCTCGTATCTGCAACAGTTAAGGACCGTGGCTGTGTATCACTACTCAGTTTAACATAAATCATATACAACACCCTTTGACTCATTTTAATCACTGAGTGTCCTAGTCTCCAAGAAAGCTGGGAAGTCCTCCCATGATCACCATTGGAAAATAAATCTGACGAATATAGTGTCCAAGAGTTTAGGCTCTATACACACAACAGATGTCTAGGCAAATATCAGGAGGAGCGAACCCTAGTAAATCAGGTAAGCTTCACACATGGCCATGGGTCCACCGAACAGATATTCACTCCCCCATCAGGTTCTGGGATACAGCCACACTCATCCGCACCGGCACTACCTGTATTTTTTGAATTCAAAATGGCATTCGTCTCCATCTACCAAGAAGTCTAGTGACAGTGTCTCCCACTGAAAACGATACCGGTTATGTATACCACGCTGATGGGAAATCTGTATTCAAACACCGTGGGTGTGTCAGAGACTATGGTGAGTTGTGCACCTCGAGTCGTGTCCATCACGGATCTCCACTCTCCCCATTCTCATCAAATTTTGTCAGAGACCTTCTTATCGAGGTCTCCCTCTCGTTGTCTCATTTCACAGGGATTGATCTTGTCACAGGAGAATCCTTATTAGATCTAGAGTATGAAGATAACACATCGTACAGTACTATTAGATGAACATGCTGACATGATGCATAGACTTCCGGACACCTTGAGTGACAGTTTGAGAATGTTCAGAATCCATTTCTCACCACTCAAATACAAATGCCTATTCCAGGAGAGGTAGGTAATGTGTTGGCCCTCTGCGACATTAGAGGGTAAGTAAGACGATTGATCGAGTCGAGTTGGGAAGTCGGGTCAGCTTTGGTGTGTCAGTCACTGACAGCATCTATGCATGGCTTCAATGGCCTTGTCAAATTGTGCCATTTACACTATCAATGATATGTCCGACTAGTTATAAAAGATGAAATAGTGTCCGGATGTTCTTCATTTCCTCTTATATGACTGTGAACAGTGGCTATTAAAGTTGGATGACATGAGAAGACTATGTGTGTTCGATCACCGATGCCTCAGCAACACAGACAAAGCATTGTGGAACTTACAAGTGGATTTCTGCGCAAATGACGAAAGTCACTTGGTGAGGTTGTAAACTTTCATCTATTGAGGTGACGGGGACACATATTGTGCATACCTAATCACCGTCTTGCTTATTGCACAATGTTGACTCAAGTAGGTTCAGAATGGAAAAATGTCAGATGTGATCAGACTAAAATATGGCAACAGTACATGCAACCTTCGACTGTTGGTCTGAGTTGTGTGAATGTACGTTTTCCAGTTGGGCTCTGTGTGGTAACAGAAACTAGGGGCTGGAGACTCACTCAGAATCCATCTCAGTGGCGCAGACGCATCCGTACATCATCCCGATCATAACACTGAATTTCATTATTCTCGCATCAACTTTTGCTTTCTTTTGATGACTTTCTACTACTTTACACGGCTTTCCCTATCTTTCATTTCGGTGCATTCTTTGTCGCTGTGTAGAATTGAGGTGTGTAACTTAGAGAGTTACGTAGTAATGCCAGGTCCTTGGTGATATTGCCTGTCTGTTTGTGTGCACATCCCCTGGATCATCAGCTCAGAGTGGTAACGAACGTGATTCATCATTCCTGCTTCGTTTCTGTTCAAGATTCCTAGTTGTTAAATTGGGATTCAGATACGTAGGATTCTAAAGGTTGTTACTGTACATCCGCTCGAGGGTAGCATCTTGTTACTCATGATTTGCCTAACACCGGACCACAGGGCAGGAAACTGCTGTTAAACAAAATGATGTAAAAACATACGTTGGATATTTAATTTTAGAGCTTACCAAGAGACCAGCACTGAAATCATCCGTCAGATCAACTGAAGAGCCAGCGACCATAGACGAAGGACTGCTACCACTGCTAGTTGAACTGCTTCCACTAATGCTTCCGATACTGTTGGTTGTGCTGGATGATGGGCCTACCCCAGTAGCTCCTAAAGTTGCTTGAGTTAATACGGTTTGAACACTGGTTATCCCAGTAACCGGATTAACAGCGGCAGTGACAGAAGTAGTCTGGAAATTAAGATGTGCATTATGCGCTGTAATCGAACAATTTGAAGGTACGGCAGTACAAGATGTATTAGTTGATACTGATGACGCTCCAGGAAGCAGTTCGAAAGTATTGCTGCTTGATAACAAGATCTGATCCTGCAAAGGTCCAGAGGTATGGACATGAGAATGCATAGCGCTGACTGCAGGACACATAACCACAGGCCCATCTAAGGTATGTCAAACAATGCATAAAAGTAACCGTAACTAGAAACTCTATAGTATGTAAAATCATAACTGACTAAAATAGACAACTACGTCGTACTGTAAAAAGCGAAAATCAGAATTAAAAAGAAATGTTTATAGTATTTTTGCAACGTATACTAGCTCAAACGTCAAAAAAGAACCGAAAATCGTCAGGAGTTTGTCCCATGAAAGTCATCAAACTAGGAGAGTACTAATATTCAGCAACTAGGTGCTTACGATTAAATGTGACTGACCTTATTAAACTTAATAACAATGAATTTTATATTTTAATGATGGATAGTGGCTAGCAGTGGAATCCAGGACGCGCGTTTCGCAGTTGACAAATCCTGAACAAAATTCAACACTATAGTCTGGTTACAATGGAATACACCTCATTGTAACGGTTACCAAAACATCATAAATTAAAACCTGTTCAGGATTAGTGTTGTTGGTTTACACTTCATCCGCCCACTAGTGAAGGCACTAAAAAGGGAAAGAAGCATACGTAATACCTATTAATCCACAAAATCGATCTTAACATAAGGAAAAAAGTTTTCTTAACTGAAACTAGCTTACTTCATGAACTAATGTACAACGATTTTGAAATTCTTATCAACCGTAAATGTAGGAGTATCGATTTATCAAAATCTGTGAGCAAAAATGCATAGCATTCTCAGGAATATTAGTACAACATCTACAAAGTAAAACTAGGGCTTGCTGTTGGGATAATGAGTAACTTGAAGTTACTAACTTCAGTGTTCTTAATGGAAATTTAGCTGAGAATATATTTTCCACTGAGGTCTAACTAAAGAGATATAACTTAGAAATAAAAAAGCAAAATGCGATATCATACTTATAACTACCGCCTAATACCACGAACGTAATTCATTTAATCTCGAAGCAAGAAAAATCCCACAACTACACACTATCCAAACATACTGAACAGAAAAATGGCTGTGACAATATTGACACAGGAGTATATTTGTGAATGGTGTGGTGGGAATTTAGTCATTTATTTTACACTACTTATTATATATAAGTAGGTACACGAAACGCGTGTAGTTAAAATATCGCTTGCCTAGTACGTCAGAACAATAACTACTTTCAGGTTTCCGATGAACTTTTATAGGAAGAAGCATAAAATTTAATGGATGCACAAATCAATAAAATAAATATCCTGGTAGCATTGTATACCATAAGAGGAAATTGGTTACTGTTAGATATAAAAATGACGGCCGGCGATTTGGAGGCCTCTATTTAAACTACCTCACACTAACACGTAGAACTTTTCAAATCCAACGATCGAGTAATTGAAACGTCTTCGATGCCAGTACAGTTTAGATGTTTCAGTACCTTTAGTTACTATTGTAAAATCAGGGTTAATAAAGAGCTTGAAAGGACTAGTAGTATTGTTTAATAGCGTGATAAAACAAATGGTAAGATAAACAACGAAGTCTATTCAAGTTAGCATCACTAACAAATTCCTATTAATTTATCAAATATATGAACTGGCTTTCGCGTTGGACATTGATGCCTTAGCTAAACATCTGAATGTGACAGTAATGTTTAACCTGAGGAAGCACGGTGTAACGTGGTGGTCAGGCATTTAAATCATTATGACCCAAAGTGCTATGCTGATAGAACGATTGTTCCATCGAGGTCCTATCATACCAGAAAGTCCTATTGTATAGAGGTTAGACAAAAAGCAGTAATCATTATAGTGTTAACTACTAGGATATGATGGGAGTCCGAGGGCGAAGTCATACTCCTGACTGGACCAGAGTATAACAGCAGTATGGTATTTTCCCAAGATGACCAGTAGTGCCACGCTAATGCCACCTTCCATATGGCAAGGAGGGTCTAGAAAAGGTCGGTCCCAAAAATAGCACACTCTTATCACTCCGCTGCATGCCGATGCCTGTGACAGGGGTCCACAGTAGGATTTGAAAGCAAGAAACCAAAATCTCAAACTTGCAGAAAGACTGCGTGTGACCGGGCTCAAGCAGTTGTCCCTTGGGCTCTAGAGTCAAGCACTAACTCGTCTTTTACAGGCACCTCAAGAAGAACCGGCCTTCCACGGATTGGGCAGTCAGGAGGTGTCAATTACCCTCACAACTCTGTCAGCATTCAAGCTCCCTCAGACGTCTGCCTACCTCATACATCCTAGCTTTCTAATCTTCCTTCACGTCTCACAGCCAATTATCCTACATCACCTTTAATTTCTCCCAGCTCTAAAGCTGTTGACTACTATTAGACTTCACAGAGTAGAATCATTAGTCTCCTAAAACCGGACTTCAAACCACACTGGAGCAATCAACGTCTACATCAATTGTCGAATCGGCCAAGAAGCTTCACCAGTCAAAACTCTAGTAACTCGGGTCATGGATGTGCGTTGTGTTTGTGAGACACATATACAGGATCCAAGTGCGGTTATTTACTTAACCTCCACCGGTTTATATAGTGAATCTACAAGACTCACTCCTCGAGTTTATGGGGATTCAATGGCCAGTTCTCGCGGTCTTGCAGGTGTAGGTATAGAGTAATGAGTACTAAGGAAGAAAATATACTATTCAACTAGATCCCAGTTGGTAGTCTTTTATGTACTGTTCGACTGCTTCGGTAGTGAAAGAGTAAGGAAACTCGCCGTCACCTCTTTGTAATCTCTGACTAAGAACCTGAGTGTGGTTCGGATGAATTCTAACTAAAACTGTTCAGCCTCCTATTCAAAGCCAAGCGATTAGGCGTGGTAGTTGTTGCAAGTGATTTCAATGCACAAGTGGGTGGGCCAAGTGAGGCAGAAAAGCACTTAGATTGTGCTTTCGGAAGAACAGAAAATGGCAGTCGCTTGCTACAAATGTGCTCAGACAACCATCCATTTCTAGCTAGTACAGAATTCAGACACAAAGGGAGACAGTTTAATGTGGCATCTACCGAGCTCAACTCAGCGGTGCGCATAGACCACACTGCTATGTCATCGCTAGTGTCAGTGAAAGACTGCTGCTTCTTCTGGAGCATGTATTTGGATAGCGACGACGCATCGGTTTGATGAATATGCATGCCTGCGTCTCAATGGAAGTAGGAAAAGTTTAGCAACAAGAGCATTGAGAGTGCAGCTCGACGATGAGAGCATAAGGTCGAAATCAATGAGAAACTCGCTCGAAAGCTATTGGAAGAGAACACCACTCACCCAGAAGCATAGGGTCATCTCCAGTCTGCTGTAAAAGAGCGCTAACTGACTCCCGGAGAGTGGTGGATATTGGCAGCTTCTGAATTATTGGATGCATGTGAATGCAATCAATCCTGCAGGCTCCGAGTCCAATGAGCGAATGCAACTCAAAAGCAGGCTAACAAAAAGTTTGCTCACTGATGGCAAACAGTGGTGGGGCAGCAAAGGCTAGAGAGATGGAAACGGCAGTGGCGATAGGTAGCAGTAGACGGTTATTGAGACTTAACAAGGAAACTGGAGCGAAAATGTCAATGGTTAGTGAAACGATAGAGAAGGATGGGTCTATGATTCACTCGCAAAGGAGACGAATGGAACAGTGGGCGGAGCACTGCGAGGAACAGTTCGACAGGCCTCCAGTTACTACAGTTCCCCGTTATCCAGTCAAAGCTTGAATGGAACACTGAGATAGGACTCCCAACACTTGCAGAGGTCAAGGAAGGTGTAAATAACCTGAAACGAGGAAGAGCACCAGGGCCAGATGGACCAGTTCCAGAAGTATTTAAGGAAAGAGACCAAGTATGATCTCTCAGACTGATCTCAATCACCAACCATTCCAGTCTTAAAGAGAGGCGAGAAATCCTCTTGTGACATGATAACCACAGAAGACTCAACCTGACGAATATAACTTCAAAGATTCGAGGTTCTACAATCACTAAACGTCTAAGTGGATTTCACGAGCGGTATACCTTAATAAATCAGTCAGTAAGAAGGGATAAAGGTCTTTGTGTGACAACCATTGGGTAATTAATTGACTGATATTGTGTTCAAGGTTCTGGACTCATAATTGTCCGACGCTTAACCGGAGCTCTAGAAAAGCAAACTCCAAAAAATCAGGCACCTTTCACACCTGAACGACCGTGCATCGATCATATTTTCGTCCTTCGACAGGTTCTAGAACACAGGTATACCTACCGGACAACACCCGACACTTGCCACATTTCTTGACCTGAAGGAAACCATCTGACTGTCGACCGTGAGGTGTTATGGCAGTGTCTGATTGCGAAGGGAGTCCGAAGCAAGAATATAACGCTAATCAACGTTCCCTACTCATACTCACAGCTGTGTAAGAGCTTATGGAGAGTTGTTATGTAAGTTGACATAAACTAGTGATGTCTACCACGAGGTGTCTACTGTCACCGTTCCTGTTTCACTTCGTAACAGATGTAATAATGGACATAACAATAGGTACGTTCGACTTCACGGGGACTGATCTACTGACTCCCTGGAAGTCATCAGGTTGATTTGGAATCTGAAGACGACATTGTCTTAACAGGTGAAGACGCTGACAAAACGCATGGTCTTCGGGACACGCTGAGCAAAAATCTCAGCTAGATGTATCGACCACTTTTCTTACTTGAAGAGTTGCATCAGTACAAATGGGTTGCCTCCCAAAGTTTTAAGGAAGATAGAAAATTACTGAGTAGAGTAACACACGTATCAAACAGTCTATGGGAATAAGTAGTCCCATCACGATGGTCTGAATCACTGACCACTCGGGCACACTGAGTAGAAATCTCGGTATGTTTGGCTGCTTTGCATTTCGCATGTCAAATTGCAGATGATACTTCAGGACTGATTTGCTGTAAGTACTCCAAAATTATTGATAGGAAGTGAAGTGGTGAGGTGTATTGACCACTTCACTTACTTGGAGAGTTGTATCAGCATGAACCGGCTGGTTGCTGACGAGATCTCAGCTCGGATACCGAAGGCCCATTTGGTATTTTCCAATTTGCGGTAACTTGAACTAATACAGTTCTGTGCTACGTTTCTACGTTGATTTCGTCTGTCTGTATTATAAATTACATGCACCAAGTAGTCATAATGTTTAATGAAGCAAGTTTTTATTGACCCTGAAAAGTGAGCTCATGGATTTATAAAAAGAGATTGACATAGGCATCTTGACGTTCGTACTCTAAAAATACATTAGGACCTAAGTAAAGCGATATGAGTTCCTCAGAAACAAGAACTGTCATAAATTTTCTCATTTCCGACTGCCAATGAGGCAGGGTACTAATCTAAATAGTGGACAAATTTCATTATAAAAGGTTCATAAGTGGTGCGCAGTTGTTGGTAGAGAATAAACGTTAGATTCCTATGGGTCTCAAAAGCCAAGAATTAGTTTATGGTCTCTATTCAGATGGTAGATTGGTTCATATCGCCTTACGCGTCGTGAACTGTTCCACATCTCTAAGAAACTCTTCCATTTTCATACTAAAACCCAGGTTCTCGTGTGCTGATAGGTCGGTAAAAGTGGTTATGAAGGCTTAATCTAGGTGTTTATTTACTTTTGTTGGTTTCGTTTTTCATGAATCTTTTCGCCTCATACGATACTTCGGAGACTATACTCACCTCAAACATGTTCTTCTTGATCTTGATAATCTTGTTACTAGCCTCCTGACTTACTCCTTTACTGCCACTTGTACAAAGAAAATTGTCATGAATTAGCGCAAACATATATCTTCATAAACCATTCGTCTAAAAGAAAGTTAAACCACAGTAATCCCGTTGGTTTGCAACTGAGTGTTATTCATGACATAGGAGTTACGTCAGTGGCAAGTACTTGTTGTGATTAAAAACTTTCCGCACTGTTATATTTAGTACTAGCTTTAAACCTATTTAACACATGATTGATGCATTGCAAAATGATTAGGCAACAGATTTATTTGTTTTACATTCTACGACGGGTGAAAAACAAAGAATGTGTAAAACTTACAAAAGAGTTCCTTTTGTCGATTAAAAGCTAAACCAAGAGAAATGAAATAAGAACAAGGAATATGCTTTCGGAGTCGACGAACCGCTTTCATCTTACGTGTGTGTGTTGAGCCAATCGAAATAGATTTGTAGCGTAGTGCAACGAAGTGCCACAACATAAAAATAGGATCGATAGCGAGAGACTGACGTATGCTTAGTTTCTCAGTAAATTGAGAAAATTACCGTGTTGCTGTCAACTGTCCGGAGCGCAGTAATAATTCATAGTTTTCTGCAGTCATTTGCTTGAAATGCCTTACAATCTTACAAGTTGTTGAATTTTTAACATCGAATATATTATGCAACACTAAGTACGGGAAACAAATAGTTAACTGTTATCGATTCTTCAACAGTGGTAGTTAAATCATACACAACATACCTGAACTAGAAACAGATGAGGTTATCGCATGTTGATGCTGTTGTTGTTGTTGTTGCTGCTGGTGTACTAGGGCGGCAGCTCCAGCTGCCCACCCAACAGCATATGCATTGGCTAGTGCAGCATTTATGTGAGTTGTGGGTTGAGCCGACTTGGCTGAAGCGGATAGGTTAGGTGATTGGAAAGACAGCTGCTGATGTGAATGGCAAGAATGAGCCTGTGGATGCATATGCGAATGAGAAGGATCAAGGCATATATCGACATTGGCTACTCCAGAAACGGAGATCGGTAAAGGTGGCGGTGGTGGTGGCATGATGACATTACCAACTGGGGCACACCACCAACAAGCGACTGGTATGCCGAGCGCTGGTCATGAGGAAATGGATGCTGCATCTGGTGCTGATTGATAGTATTTGCTACAAGTTGAACAGATGCATTGGGAAGTATTGACGATGGTTGACTAAGACACTTGGGGTAGTCCAAAATAAGCCTCAGAACAGCTGGGTTCCCAGAACGTGCTGCTTCAATTAACATTGTAGAACCGTCTCTCAGCTGATACTGGGGATCGGCACCATGTTGAAGAAGAAACTCGACCATCTAGGGTTTTTAAAAAAATAACAAGGTGATCGATTTTTTCGAATGTCTATTTCATTAGGTAAATATCGATATCCGAGCACTTAACTTGCACAATATAAATAAGTCTTATTACTACTAATGTGGTTCATAACCATAAATATTCATTAGTCTTAAGTACCATTGAGAAGTAAACTTGACAAAAAGAAACTAACCTTTGCATGTCCACCACTACAAGCTAATGATAAAGCATTGGCATCATTCTGTGAAGTGGGCTGATCAATCGCCACGCCACGCTCCAGGAACAACTGAACGACCTCCAAATGACCTGTCCTTGCGGCTTTCATCAGTGGAGTCCTTCCCCCCTCCGTCATAGCTCCAAAAACGGCTCCCCAATCAAGTAGTTTTTCACAGACTTTGACGTGCCCATTTTCAGCTGCATAGTGAAGTGCTGTGTCTCCAGTAGCTGTTACTGCATTCACTGCTGCTCCACGCTCTAATAAGCGGCGAACAAGTTCTAAGTGTCCTTCTTGAGCAGCTTCCATTAAAGGAGTAGAACAACCGACTCCACCGACTTCAATATCAGCACCAGCATTTAATAACATCTCACAGACTTCGATAAATCCACCACATGCAGCGAGCGTGAGTGCAGTTTCTTGAGTTTCTTCTGTCCTCACATTTACATCAGCACCTAGATATGTCAAAAAAGTCATTTAAAGCAGCACGAAAAAGCATGGAACAAATGACTTATATTGTAGACGAGGTTTAAGGTAACATATTCGCCCGATAAAATCGATACTGTGGGTACTCTTAATGTATCGGTATGTGAAATCTTCACTCCCGTTTCCGTGTATGCCAATATAAACGTCAAACTGCAATACAATGAAAAAGTCGTGTCAGACACATGAAAACTGATTATTACTTACACCAAAAAGGATTTCCTGCCAACTATTCTGTGTTATGGCAATATCTGACTCTATGAACGGAGTACCGAGCAAGCATATAGTGCTTATCAAAGCTCTCCACTCGAAATCAAGCAGCAGTCCGCTCTGTTCTACTGTATGGCTGTGAAACATGGCCATTGAAAGTGGAAGATATAAAAGGGCTTCAGGTGTTTGACCACCGTTGCCTTCGTAGTATAGGACGTATTCCGTGGTGTCACCACGTGAGTAATGCAGAAGTCAGGTGTAGAGTTTTAAGGAGAAGAGGTAAGTCAGTTGACGAGGTTATGAACCTTCATCGACTGAGATGGTTGGGACACGTACTACGTATGCCTAGTCACCGATTGCCTCGTCACATAATGTTGGCTGAGGTGGGTCCAGGCTGGAAAAAGGCTCGAGGTGGCCAGACTAAAACATGGCACCAATGTATGAAGTCTCTGACTGTTGGTTTAAGCCATGTAGGACGATGCAGACTAGGTGGTTGGGGTCCATGGGACAAGAGGAACCAGTGGTTGGAGACCCTAGGTGATATGGCTCAGAACCGATGTCAGTGGTGCAAATGTATACACACATTATCCTCATCTTAACAACACTATACCGAATCTCACCATTTTGTCACTCCTCTTTCCTTTCTCCTCGTACTTTATATTTCTTTTGACTGCACTCACTTATCTTCATCCTTCACCTCACTACCTTTCTACTTGATGAACTGACGTGAGGTGTGGCAACTCGGACGGTTACGCAGTAATGCCTGGTCCTATATTGATAATGATGATGATGGTGATGAAATCAAGCAGCCATGTAATGGCTTATAGAGAGAATTATTATGTGAATTAACAACAACCAATGGTATCGGTACCGGTATCCGTTAGAGATACCCCCTGTCACTTTTCCTGTCTTGCTTTGTTTCCTTATCGATGTAATAATGGAAATAATCTTAGGTACCTCTGTCTCCACGTGGACTGACGCATTCCATGGAGGCTAACTGGCTGACTTGGAGTGGCATAGACGATAATGCACTGTTAGCAGAAACACTGACAAAATGCAGTCTTCTGAAGGTCTTGAACAAGAATCTGAATCAGAAAACGTCAAGAAGTAAATACATCTACGCAACTGCGACCAATTTTCACTCATATCACCAAGAGTTCTCAACTACTGATTCCTGTCGTCTCAGGGACCTAATCAGGGAGTATACATTTCCCCACGCGGATCAGACAAACAGCCACAAACTTTATCGTTCAGTAGTACGTCTTAGTCTGGGCACCCTGAATCCTCTTCTAACTAGTTTAACTAATTCCCTTATGGTTGTCCCAAGAAGACTTCTCTCTCCCCAAATACTGAGATGATTAGTGAAGTAGATCAGTCTGACGGGACATCTCATTCCTATACACTATCCAGTACATCCGTCACTCTAATCAGCACTTTCCTACCTCCATTTTTCAAATCCCAGGTGGCAAACTGTCAGGTCCTGCTGCCTTGCATCACTTCAAGTTTGATGCAGCCTTCTCAACTTCAAAGAAGTTGGAGGACTGACAAATACGTCCGATTTAGGTTCAGGCTGGCTATACGTCCGTCTCCTGCAGCGTCGCTCAGGGCTAGTGTTTTGCCTAACGTTCTGGCCGTCTGTCCTGGGAGGTTATAAGGGTACAATTCCTTTCGGTGATGGTTTCACTAACCATTGTCTTCTTATTGCCGGTATCATCAATAAGCACAAAATAGTTATAGGGTGTCACCTAATGCTTTCCTTTCCTTTTTCTCACCGTTCACCACCGTTCGTGATCATTGCGAAAACTCTTGGTCAATTTATGCTCAAGTTTCTTTTGCTCTTCAATGTGGCCAGAGTCACCTGGGATGAGTCTTGTCGCATTAATCCTTACGGATTACGTCGCGGATATCCAGTGACGTCTGATTACCTCCGGGTGTAGGTTACCAACTGTCTTAACTGTTTCTACAGCAGACTGAATGTGATGGCAGGTTTCATTGGGATGAGCATTACTCTTACATTTAGATGAATGCTTAGGTAAGTTCGCTCTAAATGATGTGCCCGGCGCCCTCATCTTCCAATCGACCACATGATTCACTCATCTGTTTTCTGCGACCAGAAAGGTGTATATATACACGAGTCCGTACAGACGCGTGATCGGAGTTCAAACTGGTACTCCAGAAACAGCAGCAATCCTCCACCGATCCTCTTTACCGACGGCTTATAGCAGTATGACCTATCTATACCTATCCTTGGTTTGATGTCGGCGCAAACCAAGTTATGTATTGTCTCTAGGCATAAATTTAGTGCTGGCCAGAAACAAGTGGTTGTCGGAACAAAAGTGAGGCAGTAATTCCATTTAGTCTGTTTATTAGGAATGTCACGCAGTTAAACAGTATCATTTGCTCGATAACGTTTCGGACATTGCAGTAGACAACGACCACTGTTGGTCAGTTGGCACAGATTCCGTAGATACCAACAAGATGCCGTTCTGATAGGCTTAGCTTGCCTACTTGAGCGTTAAAGTCACCTGGTATTATGACTATATCCGAACGTTTTTTTCTTTCTATAGCAACATTAACAGCTTCTCATAAAATTCTTCTTTTGCATCATCTGAACTGCAGTTGGTGGGGGCGTAGACAGAGATTACGAATAGGTATCGGTTGATCTCAAGATTCTTTCCAGTTTTCGTAGATCCATTCAATCAGACTGCACGCAAACGGCGGTTGTTAACTGGTAGCTAGTCGAGAAGCGCACTATCTGCACTACAGTTCATTGCTAGGCCAACAGCAGCGAGTCCACAAGAGCTTGTCATTGCGTCTCTGAGTACTCGAGATAAATTTTGAAGATTCACTACTATGGCTATGTGAGGTCAATGTAATAACTACACTCGAGTCTAGTATATGTGTTTCAGAGACACAGGGTACATTCATGGCGTGATAGTCCAGAGTTCTGGCAAGTGATGTCTGTTGGACTTGGTACAGAGTTTGGATGTTGAAAGCTCATACATGATATCGATGGCGAGAACTTAGGAGACTAGGAATGTGGTTTCGATGGCTCGTATCGTTGGCAGTGGTCGTAGAGTGAGGTTGTGGAAGTAGTAAGGGGCTTGATATTAGTATAAGGATGTGTGCAAAGGTGGAGACATAATTGAAGAGAATAAGTTGTTTGACTGGGCTTTTTGAACTACTGGAAGGATGCCGGCAGTTGACTCTCCCGGCCGCCCATACGTGGGAAGCTATTTCTTCCTAAGGTACCTGAAGGAGAAAATGTGTGACCGCAGAGTCCGTGAAATTTCCGCATGAGGCCTGTTACGCACAACCTTTTGTGGATTGTTGTCTTGAGATTTGGTTGTTTCAACGCCACACAGAGGAAATTCATACCGCCGCATGGAGGAGTGTGATCTTTCTGGGGCCGACCTTCTCTAATCCTACCTTCCCGTAAGGAAGGCAGCATCAGCGAGGCACTACTGGTCATCCAAAGGAGACCCCTTACTGCTGTCAGCCCATTCAGCCAGTAGTACTACTTCGCCCTGAGACACCTATCATACTGTAACAATTAAAACTACAACGATAACAGCTTTTCGTCTTAAAACTTTCCAATAGGCCTTTCTAGTAAAGTAGGACCTCGGAAGAGCAAGTGTTGCAACTAGTGCAGCTCTTTAGGTCATTGTGATATGCAAGCCCGACCATCACGTCAATGTAGCAGCCAACGGTTGTCTGGTATTTGCTAGCTTGCGTCATTTCTGGTATCGACTAGCGAGATAATCGACTATCTGTCAAAGGAAAGGCACACCATGCTACAGTTCGTTTTGCCGTGCCATACGAATGTGAAACCTGGCCGTTAAAACTAGAAGACATGAAGCTGTTGCAGGGTTTCGATCACAGGTGTCTTCGCTAGCGTTTGGTGTAATAGTCATGCGACCAATTGTTTAGGCCAAGAGAAGGGTACTAGAGGAGACAGGCATCTTGATGGATGAGATTTTGAACGTTCATCGACTGAGATGGCTTGGATATGTACTGCGTATGCCAAGCTACCGCCTACCTAGACGTGCAACGCTAGCGGAATTTGGGTTAGGTTGGAAGAGGGTTTAGGATGTCCAGACCAAAGTCCGATACCAGATTATGAAGTCCCTGGCTGTTTGTCGGAGTCGTGTAGACTGCCTGGCTGAGGTTCCCGAAACCATAAGAATCAGTAGTTGAGGAATCTTTTAGACATGGCTGAAAATTGGTCACAGTAGCGTAGAGGTATTTACTTTTTGGGGTCTTTTAAAGCTGAAATAATTGCATTAACCCTTATCTTCAAACTTATTTTCTCACACAACTCTGTCTACTTTGATGTAACTCTTCTATCCATCTGTTCTTTGTATACTACTGTGGAGTGTGACAACATGAAGTAATGCACTTTCGTGTGCGGTTTTAAGCCAATTTTGTTTCTGTCTGTCTGAAAACCGGTGACAACTATGCAAGTGTATTCACTCTTTTACATCTAAACCTTGAATATTTTCACCAACATGTCCAAATCGTCATTCCTGCCATTCACCTTTGTCTGCTTCGATATCAGTCTTTTGTCCAATTGGTCGAATGAATCTATAAATTGTGGCAACTTGAGAAAATGCACTTACTCCACTGAGTACTAAATTTAGTAACATACTAACTTTTTGGATTTGAATGCGAAATAATTGCAATTAGTTTAGTATTAAGATTGGTGTAACTCAGCAGCCTCGTAAAACGCTGATAGTATATAACGGGGGTTGTGATATTTCCTGATCATCCAAACCTCGGTAAGTGAAAGTCAAACACTAGTTGAAACCTTAAAAAATAGACCTAAGTCGCAAAATCATCTTAGGAAGAAAATTGGTGACTAAAATATTCATTCATTGGCTTACCTACTGCAAGCAGTAATGCGACGGTTTCTTCATGACCCTCTCTCGCAGCTTCCATTAAAGGTGTATATCCTTCATCATTAACTTCTTCAATATCAGCCCATATCCAATCAACAAATGTGCAAGTTCAGTATGACCTCCACACGCTGCTAAGGTCAAGGGTGACTCAAAACTATCCTGGGGTATATTCACATTGGCTCCGTGTGCAAGGAGTAAACGAGCAACTTCAACATGTCCTTCCATTGCGGCTTCCATTAGAGCAGTGTGCATTTCATCAGTACGATGCTCGTGATCAGCTCCAGCAGTTAACAAAAAACGAACCATTTCCGCATGACCCTATAAAGAGGAAAATGTTGACATGAAACTCAATGACAAATGTTTAGGCCAAACGAAACGTTATCTTTTTACTGAGGACAACAATCAAGCGATTCACATTGAAAGCAAATGTATTTTAGGACTAATAGAAATAATGTGACCTAACAGAAGAAAATATAAGAGACAGACTAACTTTAAGACATGGAAAATTGAAACGCTGTCACCTCACTATATTCAAGGAAAAATAGATGGTGCTGTTGATAATAAGTCCCTAGTTTTCATATTTACAATTACTAAGGGAAAATGCTCTTGTTTTGTGATTGATCATTACTTTTGTTTTCCTTATCGCAGCTCAAGTCATATAATCTACAAATGCAAACACCCACCGTTTTAGAGACTACTATTCTAAATAGATATCTTCTGCCTTCTCATGGTTTTGTTTGCTAGACATACTTTTCACTTTGCTGGTTCCCAACTTGTCGCTGTTGCAGTGTGCTGAATTGAACTGGTTTCATTTTGTCGCTCAAAATCGGTTGGTGGTGTAGCAGTAAACATTTTATAACATTTTCATTTACCTACGACTATCTATACTTTCCCAGCTCTCGACTTTAGTATCAGTCTTATTCTAACCCTAAAGGCCACCCTAAGTTACTGAAATAGCCAAATAGGGTTTTGCATTTCAGAAAACTACCTTTTTCAACCTAAATGAACAGTCTTCATTGGTCATTCAAGTAGTTTTTAGAGTGGCCTTCAAAGTCACTTCTTAACCGATCCTCCCGTTTTTGCATGCTGCCGTAAACTGTGGAAGTTTGAACCGCTGCACTTCTGTGACGTTGTAGGTTGATTTGTCTCTTCCCAGGCTCTGCTTATACACTTTTGACAAGGATTTGAATAACATAAAGTTAAAGATTTCGTAAGTATGTCAGGTTGGAAGGCTGAAAACAAATTCCCCACCAATTTATTTTTGAGAATGAAACAGAGGTACTGCGACCGAAAAACAGGCAATATCAACAAAGGACCTAAAACTACTTTGTAACGCTCCAGGTTGCCACACCTCAGATCTTCGCATTACAAAAAGAATGCATCAGAATGAAACATAAGGAACTCAGAAAGTAGTCTGAAGTGATAGAAAGTCATCATAAAAAGCAGAGTTGTGTGAGGATACTGAAATCCAGTATTATAATCAGGATGAGTGGATACATCTGCGCCACTGAGATCGATTCTGAGAGGTTCAACTTGCTGTCTCCAACCACTGGTTTCCGTTACGACGCAGATAACACCAGGGAGGCCTATATTCCTCTACACGACTCAAGCCAACAGTCAGATTCCACGGACTAGTGCAATATTTTGGTGTCCCCCTCCTCTTATTTTTTTCTATCCCTAACCTACTTGAGTCAACATTGTGCGACGTGGCAGACAGTGACCAGGTATATATAACATGTCGCAGCCAACCGACTAAATGATTTCAGGTTACCTCCATCACACGACATAAGCATGTGTAATCACTGTTTGTTATGTGTTTATGTTTGTTCTTACTATATCTGACTGACCTTAGCAGAAAAAAGTAATTAATGAAACTATGCATCATGTAAATCGAAAGAAAACTTGGCCACAGCAGAAACAAGACAACACAACAATTCACTTCAAAACACATTTCCGTCGTAGGAATTCAGCGTATAGCTATGATTCATAGCTTATAATAGTCTGTTCCCAGGCAGTAAGTCATGATTTCGAACCCTACAGTGCCTTCCAAGGTTTGAACAGCTAGGTATCAGTAGCAGTCACAATGGCTGTGGTTCATTTTCTAGCGCGTTTGTTGAGTTATTACGTAACATCAACTGTTCAGCCTTCTTAAAATGTGTAGTACAACCATACCGACTAATCTGCTCTTATTAAAACGGATGCAGAAAACTAATCGGATGTATCTACCCTGATATTCATCAGTGCCGCACTTGAAAAATTATCAACACCTTGCTAGTATTATGCACGGTTCACGTGAGAGGTACCAGTTTGCAAATGACAGCAAGATGTATCAGTATTTTACCTCGATTTTCTGAGATATCGGCGAGTCATGTGATTTTGTCTCTGCAAAAACAATAAAAACAGTGGAAGTATGTGCATTTTTTAACGACTATCAGCATTTCTGATACCTTTGTATTCAGTAAACAAATACAAGTAAATTTTCGTGTAAAGTGAATCACGTAACTCTTACCTTCACGAAGTGAATCAGTTGTGAACACTTGCACAGTACTAGTAAGAACTCATGTCACAGTACTTACACTTAAAACATCCTGGAGATAAACCTGAATTATATATATCCAAATTTGCTGAATAAGAATTCAGAATTCATTAAAAAAAATTATGTAAGGAATTAACAGGGTGAGTTTATTTAGTCCTCATATCAACATCTGAAACAATCTGAGTGCAAACACTACAAATAGTCTCGGGAAGTTAATTAAAATGTTTCATTTTAGTGAAGACACTAAGTCGAAGTAATCTCTCCTCGACCTATCTTCATCATACGCATCGATGAATTAAGGTTTACGGGATAAAAATTACTGCTGCTGAAGGGATAGAATTCCGAAAACTGTGGACATACTTTGTAGCTTGCTAAGGTAAGAGCAGATTCTTTGAACTCGGCTGAGTGTGTATTGATATCACAACCATGTTTAATAAGACAACGAGCGACGTCCACATGCCCATTACTTGTAGCTTCCATCAAAGGTGTATGCCCTGTGTCGTTTTGTACTTCCATCGGACTACTGTACTGTAATAATAAACAAACGCAGTCCAAGTGTCCAGAAGTAGCTGCATAGTGGAGCGCCGTATTTCCTGTGTTCGATTTCTGACCAACACACGCCCCATGCTCCAATAATAACTTGACGATATCTGTGTAACCAACGCTGGCGGCTTCCATCAGTGGCGTACACTCAACCTTCTTGCCACGAAAATTCGGATCCGCCTAAACATACATTATTAAAACTGATTATTTGGAACCAACCCCATGTTTCAACAGCATCTCCACAATCCTCACAGCGTTTGAAGATATAGCACATGTGAGAGCAGTTTCACCATCAGGTGCAACTTCATTTACATTACACTCTCCAGAAAAATAAGTACTTTCACGGCCTCATCATCACCATTAATACAAGCCGGAATCAACGAGGAGGGCCGACTACCATATAAACGTTCAAATATACGAACTTACCCATCATCATCAGTCATGGACAAGACGGCAACCTCTTTTCTGATTTCGTTCAGTACTTCAGTGTCTGATATTCTACGGCCATCCTTAATTAACATGTTTTCAATTCCCGCAGCTTGAAGGAACTTCCTGAAATTCAATTGTGTCTCAGGGCAGAGATCCGGCAAAGCATTCTCAAACTGAAAATTTAAATTATCAATAGTAGAGATATCTGAACTAGATCTGTATGTATGAGGTAGCAAAGACGGTAAATAAAATTAACAATAACAAACAGAAGTAGTCTCGGTTGACTGTTGTAAATTGTCTTTAGAAATTATTTCCAAACAAATAACATCCAAAAAGATTTTACAAGTCAGTACAAACAGTGATCTTACCTTAAAACTTTGAAAATCCCCATTTAAAAGCATCCAGCTGAGGAAAGTCACCCAACTACACACGGAATCACTTCCAGTCGAATGTACCACGGTGTAGTTAGAATGAACTCAAGTGTTCACCATTACCATGTGCCTCCGCAACCGGAGTGAATAACATTATAGTGTCGGCTGAATTAAGGTTATTCATTATAAAATTACTTTCTGATGGCAATAGTAGGATTTATTATTCCAGAGACACTACCTGTAAGCGGATGTTCTAGTGTTCAATGCCTTGTAACTTAAATATAACAGGTCATTTCAAGGGCTTGAGATATACCTGATAATGACATAGGATACTGAGATATAGCGACAAATTTTTAGTAGAGCAGAAAAAATCGAAATATCGAAACATGTAGCGTTACTCCCTTGTTCAGAATCAATTGCTTAGGGTTCGACGAGATTCAACATTGATGCTGACCTTCATAGTTTTACCAGACTTGTTAAGCTAAAAACAACCGGTCAAGCATCCTTGCCTCTTGGAACACTGACGCGTTACGTTGCACTGCAAGTAATCTGCCCTCTAGTCAGTTAGTTGGAACGCATCATTACCTTGGCACGACCTCGTAAATGTACTATTCCATCTGACTACGCTGCTGTGTTCTTTCTTGATCTCGAATTCGTGGTATAAAGCAAGTTCGAATAATTTGTGGTTGGCCTCTGCGTCCGTCATGTTCATACCAGGAAAATTGCCAAAGACGTGTGTACGGCATCCTTGCTGTTTACTCTGATGCGACTCGTTTTTTGAGCCAAATGAGGCGTGGTGGCTGCGTAAACCTCTTTTCATTTGTAGGTAGAAGGCACATTTATGCCTCATCTCAATTCTGCTAGGTAAATATGTCAACCTGCTTATCGATCTTCTTGAAACCATCCACATTGAGTTATAAGTAAATTGTCAATGCCTGGTTTGCACCAAATGACAGGTTCATCATTTGACTGTCTGAGATAGCCGCAGTTTGGCAGACTAGTACTTGTTCTGGTAATGTTTCGATCAAAATTTTTCTGAAATTTTTTGTTTGTATTTCAGTTCGTTATTAACGGCCATTTCCTGAGATGCTGGATCGCATGTAACATATGTTGAAGCCAATCAGTCGGTCTTCAGTTGCATTGTGCAGACAGTCGCAAGCTTTTCCGCAAGAAGCTTCCTAAAGTGTCCCTGCTTTTCATTTCATGAAAATAATAAGTTAACAACTAACATGCATATTAGAGACCACTATTTCAGGGTGCTTTCTTGGTGAGGCTTTTCAAAAGCGTGAGTGCGTTCTGAGTGAAGATCTAAACGGGATGGTGGACTTGAGTTTCAATTCTCCTTTCTGCCTGTCTCACTGTGGACCTCATATTGCTAGCATCTACATGCCATGACTGCCCTTTCCGATTGTAGGGAGTGGAATGGTTGAGCTCTTTGGCCACTTCGCCCGCGTAGGAGTTTGGACTAGCCCTGGTAAATTAGTGATCAACGAACAAAATGCGCAGCTACAGAGGTTCAACCGGCTTTCATCGACTCTTGACACTTACTATGCTACCAAGGTATCCAACTGACTCTTCATTATTAGCTGGGTGTACTTCGCTGCAGTTCGTTCTGTTCTACTGTATGGCTGTGAAAGGGCTGTTAAAGGTCACTGACATCAAAAGGCCTCGTTTATCCAACCATGATGACCTCAGTAGCTAAGCCGTATGTCACGATTCCCCCACGTGAGTGACATAGAAGTCAGGTGTCGAGTTTTAGGGAAAGGAGGAAAGTTTGGACCCTTCGTCTTCTGAGTTGGCTGGGACATCTGCCACGCCTGCCTAATCACTGTCTGCCCCGTCGCACAATGTTGTTTGAAGTAGGTGTGCGCTGGAAATTTTCTTGGAGCGGCGAGACCAAGAAATGTTGTCAGTGTCTGAAGTCATTAACTGTTGGCCTGAGGCTTGCGGGGCAATGCAAACTTCCTACTCGGGTCCCGCGCGATAGCAGAAACCGGTGATTGCAGATTCTAGATCTCAGGTTCAGAATCGGTGCCAGACTTATCCACAGGTTATCTTCGTCTCAATTGACAAACTCAATTCAGTACTTTCATATTCCTCCTTCCTTTTTTACTACTTTCCGTCGTCTTTAACCGATTCTTTTCCATTTACTATCTTTCACTTTGTTGCTTTGTTGCGTGGTGCTGTGATATGAGGTGTGGGGTGCCCGAAATGTCATGCAGTAGTGCCTAGCCCTACACCAGTGATGATGATGACTTGCTCTACGTCTGTCATAGTGGGAAATTTTCCTTGACTTGAACAGTTACCATACTCATTCCGAGTCCCAGTAACGTGAAATAGCAGGTGTAATCAACTGGTAGTTATTCAGCTGTTCACTGATAGTGCTGCTGCCGAAGGTCCATGAGATGACTGAAACCTTAGCAAGCATAGACATTGTGTACCACTGAACTCTAAGTGAGAGTCTTGCGCTTTGAAGGAGTCAGCGGAGCTAGCCGTAACGGCTTCAAGAGGGGAGTCTCTTAGTTTGCAGTTCGTTCCTATTCACAGAGTACCCGGAAAAAGATCCTCCTGTTGATGGAATCCTTGACCAGAGTGCAAGAAGAATCCATCGGGATGAAGGGGACAATAAGCTGTTCGTTACACCACGACCACGCCCCCCTCTTCTCCGCCCGTATTGCACCAGTCGTAGCTCAAGAGAAAGCAAGCTTTCCAAGTATGTTTGTACCGCAGCCTAATCACTTCGTTCACAGCACCTCCCTGAACCCATTTCGGGATAATACCTTTCTCCAAACGAAGAGACGTAAATATCAAGATCTTCCGTAGAGCGAAGAAATATAGGAACCATAACCTGCAATTAATAGGCCCAAAGTTACACCTTCTGAAGCCAGAGGAACACACGGTCCGCCTCCTTGAGTGCTTCTCTCTGGAGGCAAACAATGAGCGAAAGCTAAGTATGTCACCAACGGTAACAGAGGGGTCGAGTGATGAAAAACCAGCCCAAATATGTACCAGTCAAACTGTATTTCATGTTAACCCCGTGTGTAGTCAAAGTGACAGACGACTGATCGGTTAGTCGGTGTCAGTACTGTAAGCCCTGAACTATGTATGTGTTCAGGTGTGTTCCACTTTGTCCACTGTCTTTAATCCTCGGCCCAAATACCGGTTTTCCGCACGTTAACTACGTCTACTAGATTCAGTTAGTCGGAACGGGAATCACCCGGGAAATCTCTGGAAGTTGGTGGTTGACTGTGATAACAATAATAATCTATTATGAACGGTGAAACACACGAACACGTGCCACTGTCACAGGCAGTCTCTGAACATTATTGTTCTTGGTGAAAAGGAGAAAATTTGAAAATGATGAACCACCGTAGCACACATAGTTTCAAGGAGTATGCAGCTGTATGGATATTACCGGTAAAAAATTTCAGGCTGAAGCCATCTCGCCCCACAAAGGTAGCACAAAGCGATATGGATTTCATGACTCAGCACAATCAGTAACCTGAAAGTAACGATTATGGCTCAAATGTTCAGTTACAGAACCACGTAACTAGTAATCATTCATAGCTTATCAAATCTTGGACATAAATGGTGCTAAAAACACGCGAGCATTCAACAACTTTAGCATGCGAAGCTAGGTTAAATGGCGGGACGGACAGTGGGGAGAGGATTTGGAACCAGTGATGTACGGTGTCACACTGCACGTAGCTACTACCCAGGTCAGTGTCCCCGAAAACAGCCATTTTAGTAAATGAAGCCAGAGATGTTATTCAGTCCGGCGACTCTTGTCATGCAGTGGAGGACAGTGTGAGGTTTCGTCATTCAGCCACTAAGTATGCCCTCAAGGTAGGCGCTACAAGTGTGTAGATGATTATCAAAAGCAAAAAAGGGAATTTGGTGTAGAAACGTTGACAACAACAGCAAGAACACGGTATCTGCAGTAATGCGACTAGGTATGGTCTGACTCATGTTGGACTCAGGTGAGCGTCCTGTTTGCAAGATAATGGCCGGCATATCTGAATAATACATGCTACATAGCGGAGAATAAGCGGCGAGAAACACAGAATTTTCAACGTCTCAACTTGAAAACCAATTAATAAATAAAGTAACTAAAAGCCACCTACATTGATTACTAGCTAACAATAACTCACTAATCTTTGGATACCAAATTCCCATACGGCTATCGTTACGTGCCCCACCCTAGGGCACTTGCAGACATAAAGACTGTAGATACCATCCGCAAACGGCTACGCTCAGATAAGAAGAATTTACACCTGACTTGTTCACTGAATCCGCTTATCGCTAACACTAATGTATAATTTCTGAGGTCTTGGGACGGCGAATATCTGCAAGTAGGTATGGGGAGCAGTACAATAGACCATGCAAAAGTCTTTCCATAAAGCCTCAGTAGACGGCACAACACCCCATATATGTAATCTACACAGCCGGCGATACTCAATAATCGTCTAGCAAAACTCCTCTGTATATGTCCAAGTAGTGACTCGCAAACGTAAGATGAATGAGCCACATTCTAACATCGGCCAGGGGTGAGTCTTAAAAAACAGCGAGCTCGTCCCCTCTTGCACAGATATCCATGCATCGACAGTGCCTACAGCAGCCTTCAGATCATATTAGTCGGCAACGTGGATTTTGGGAAGTGGATTTCTCAAAGTCAAACAGTTTCTCGAAGAGTAAACGGGGATTATCGGGTCGCTTTCACAGTCCAAGACTTCTGGTACTGAATCATCACCTACTACACTAGGTCTACTGGCCCCCGTCGTTTGCCACTGTTGCCATTAACACTGCTGAATTTCACCACAATCCCGATTCATATGTGACCTGATTCGTAGTTCAGGTGTTAAGAAGACCATTTTAAGGTGGATTTTGTGGATCCGGGTGATTCCCAGAGGGTTCGTCTCCTGCCTAGGGAGCCGGGTCTATCTGAGCTAGACCGACGTTGCGACATGCTTTTGCTGTGGAATCCACGTGATCGGACTTTTCACGCCACGGTTGAGACCCTGAGACAACAT